ACCTCACCTCACAGAAGAGAATGAACAAGAATTGGTTTTCCTAGAAATAGTCTCCACTGAACGGGCCTTGTCGTATGACTAGCACTAACATTCTAGCGAAACAGTTCTGTCTCTGATGAGTTCGGGGGGTGAAAGGACCCTAACGCCCTGTGGAATGCCAGCCTGGCCAGGATGACCTCGGGGACCGAGGGTGGCCGTAGATTCCACAAGATCCCACAGTGTGGCTGTACGAATGTCACCGTGGCCCGGCCGGCGTGGCCCAGTGGCTGAGCGTCGACCCATGGAACCAGGAGGTCAGGGTTCGATTCCCGGTCATTTGTAATCAATAAAAACATATATATTTTTTTAAAGACAAGGCCGGTGTACCTACATACACTCCGCCCCCCCCCCCCCCCCTTTCCACCCCCCCCCCCCCCCCCCACCTTATGCCTCCCCACCTCACCTCACAGAAGAGAATGAACAAGAATTGGTTTTCCTAGAAATAGTCTCCACTGAACGGGCCTTGTCGTATGACTAGCACTAACATTCTAGCGAAACAGTTCTGTCTCTGATGAGTTCGGGGGGTGAAAGGACCCTAACGCCCTGTGGAATGCCAGCCTGGCCAGGATGACCTCGGGGACCGAGGGTGGCCGTAGATTCCACAAGATCCCACAGTGTGGTGGCTGTACGGTCACCGTGGCCCGGCCGGCGTGGCCCAGTGGCTGAGCGTCGACCCATGGAACCAGGAGGTCAGGGTTCGATTCCCGGTCAGGGCACCTGCCCAGGTTGCGGGAGAAAGCAGAGTACCCCCCCACCCCCCAGCATCCTCCTCACCAGTACCTACACACACACCTGTCTCAGTCCCTGACCGCTGGCGCCCCCTGGTGGTGAAGAAGGAAATGCGCTTTGTTTTCAGGCCATCTTCATTTCTGTGGGGAGGAGAAGAAAAAAAAGTCAAGATTTGGGGAAAGCAGGACAAAGACCTTACTATTGGGGCCGGGACTCTGTGATGCCCGAGCCTGCAGAGAGACCGGAGAGAATTCCACCGAGACTCCTGTGCCCCCAGCCTGCGAAGGACGCCGGTTGTGCGCACGTTCGAGTCTTTGGGGAAAGAAACGGCTGCAGAAGGTGCCCAAAGGCCGGCCTGACCACTGGGTTTCTGGTTCCCAGCTTTTCCCCTGCAGGCAGGTGTGAGCGGGCAGGCCCCGGCGGGAATGCCCGCTCCAGCGGATGCCGCTTTGAGGAAAGTGATCTCACCACGTCTACTGGGGTGTACGTTCTGCTGAGTTTCCGTCTATTTTCAAAACTATGTATTTATTTATTTTAAAACGTGTCGGGCATATGCCCGATCAGGAATCAAACCGGCAGGTGACCTCCTGGTTCCTAGGTCAACGCTCAACCACTGAGCTACACCAGCTGGGAGATTTTCACCTTTTTATTCAGTCTCTCTCACATCAATGTTTCTCCCTCTCTCCTCCTCCTCTCTCTCAAAATCATCCTATCTACATATTGCTTAGCAATGGGCAAAAACGTTAAAAAAGTTTTTTTGCTTTATTCATTTTATTTCTTCGTTTATTTTAAAATATGTTTTTATTGATTTCAGAGAGAGGAAGGGAGAGGGGGAGAGAGAGAAACATCGATGATGAGAGAGAATCATGGATCGGCTGCCTCTTGCATGCCCCCTACTGGGGACCGAGCCTGCAACCCGGGCCTGTGCCCTGACCGGGAATCAAACCGTGACCTCCTGGTTCATAGGTCGACGCTCAATCCCTGAGCCCTGCCAGCCGGGCAAATGTCCGCTGTTTAAGCCCCCAGCCTGGTCGCTTTGTGATGGCCACTAACCAAGGATGAGAGACCCACCCTGAGGGGCTGCTGGGCGGGGTCACACGGGACTCAGAGCCTGTGGGACAGAGACTTGCTTACTTGCCAAACTGGTTTCTGGAGAGATCCAGGGTCTTCAGCTGCGTGCAGGTCCACTTCTCCGGAGGGGGCACAGCCACCAGCTGGTTGCCCTGCAACTTCAGGTACACCAGGGCCTGGGGCAGAGAGGGAGGGTGTTAACGGCGCTGTCACCGCCAACGGGAGCCCGGCCGGCCTGGCTCAGTGGTTCAGCGTCAACCTCAGAACCAGGAGGTCACGCTGGGTCCCCCGTTAGGGCACATGCCCGGGTTGTACCCTTGATCCCCAGCAGGGGGCGTGCAGGAGGCTGACGATCCATGATTCTCTCCCCTCATTGATGTTTCGCTCTCTCTCTCTCTCCCTTCTTCTCTGAGATCAAGGCACACATATACGTCTTTTTTTAAAAAATGCTAAAGGGAGGGAGAGCCGATGAGAGAAGTCAGTTCCCCGGGCCAAGGGCAGCCATAGGTCATGACCGATGTACCTTGACCGAGATTCCATAGTGTGGGCTCACTTCCATTGCGGGTTCGATCCCCGGCCCTGGTTGGGGCACGTGCCGGAGGCGACCAATCGATGTGCCTCTCTCACATGGATGTTTCTCTCTCTGTGTCTCTCCCTCCCTCCCTTCCACCCTCTCTAAAAATCAGTGGAAAAATAGCTTCGGGTGAGGATTAACAACAAAATAGCAGTAAGACCGCTGCACCCTGGCTCCGTGACAAATAGCACTCAGTCCACTAAGAGGCTACACACTGTGGTTGCCTCGTTTTCCCGTCCTGGCTCCAAGGAAGGGACGGAGACGGGGTGGAGGGGGGGCGGTGAGGGGGACCCCTAGCCCTTCTCCTCCCGCCCAGAACATCTGGCCCATTGTCCGTGGAGATAATGGGACCATTCAGGCCGCGCTCTGGAGAGCAGCCGGATTCCCACACGCAGATGTTTGAACTGGAAACGCTGGCGCTGCTGACGGCGTTTCCTGGCTCTGAGCCCACAGCGAGCACAGCCTCTCTGCCGTTCCGGCCGCTCCAACGAGCCAACTTCCCAAGAAGCAGAAACACCATTTCGTTGGTGGTGCGACGCAGGCGGATTCTTTCCTCTTTATTATTATTATTTCTTTTGTTAATCCTCGACCCGAGGAGATGTCTTCCATTGATTTTTAGGGAAAGTGAGAGGGCCTGTCCGGGGTGGCTCAGTGGTTGAGCGCCGATCATGAACCAGGAGGTCGGGGTGTGGGCTCCCTCCCCAGTAGGGGGCGTGCAGGAGGCAGCCGATCCATGATTCTCTCTCATCATTGCTGTGTCTATCTCTCTCTCTCCCTCTCCCTTACTCTCTGAAATCAATAAAAGGGTATTTTTCCATTGATTGTTAGGGAGAGCAGAAGAGAGAGAGAGAGACAGAGAGAAACATCGACGTGAGAGAGACACATCCATTGGTTGCCTCCTGCACGTGCCCCAATCAGGGGCAGGGATGAACCTGCAACCCAGGTACGTGCCCTGGACTGGGAATTGAACCCGTGACCCTTGGGTGGGAGGGCTGCTACTCTAACCACTTAGCAACACTGGCCAGGGCTCTGCTTCATTCTTAGTTTAGAGCCCTCTGAAAGGAACCGAGCCCCCCTTTCTTGGGCAGAAGCCATCCTGGGCCCCATGTGCACGCTGTAACCATGGAAAAGTCTGTGGGTCTGACGGTGCAAATCTCAAGCCCGGAGCCACATGGTCTGGCTTTCTGGTGAGTTACCTGCCTCAGACACTCAGTTGCTGGATGCTGAGTGACATGTCTTTCTTTTCTTTTTTTTTTAAACCTATTTTTTATTGATTTCAGAGAGGAAGGGAGAGGGCGAGAGAGATAGAAACATCCATGAAGAGAGAGAATCATGGATGGGCTGCCTCCTGCACGCCCCACACTGGAAGTTGAGCCTGCAACACCGGCATGTGCCCTGACCGGGAATCGAACCGGTGACCTCCTGGTTCCTAGGTCGACGCTCAACCACGGAGCCACGCCGGCCGGGCCTGAGTGACATTCCTGGTGAGTGACACTCCGTAGGCAGCGCACTGAGCCCTCTGGGATTTCCGGTCTGATACTCACCAACGGGCAGGCCCAGGCATCTGGGAACACCTTCAGCTTATTTCTGGAGACATTCAGGCAGTGCAGTGACTTGAAAGAATGAAGAAACGTCGCCGGGAGCTCGGTCAGTTTATTATCAGAGACATCCAGCTCCTGCAGCTTCCGCAAACCAATCCAGTTGGTGGCTAGACGGGGGAGGGAGAGGGTGCCTTCGTCAAAAGATCCGCACCAGGAAGGAGACGACCCATCAGGTCAGGTTGCGGAGGGCGGGACATACCACTCTCTTCCTCAAACAATTTCTCTAAGTAGTTTTTCGAAGCCGTCAGCTTCTGCAGCTTCGAGAGGTGCAGGAACCCCGGCGGGAGGTGGGCCAGCTTGTTGCTGGAAACGTCGACTTCCAGGAGCCTGAGGGAGGGAGAAGGAAGTGGAGGCATCAGAAGGAAGAGGGAAACCGGTCCTGCAGACACGGAGGCCGCCCTTTCTCTTTCCGCGTGCACGTGTGCATTAGAAATGTAGCAAGAGACCAGCCGGTGTGGCTCAGTGGTTGAGCGTCGACCTAGGAACCAGGAGGTCACGGTTCGATTCCAGGTCAGGGCACATGCCTGGGTTGCAGGCTCTATCCCCAGTAGGGGGCGTGCAGGAGGCAGCTGATCCATGCTTCTCCCATCATCAATGGCTCTCTCTCTCTCCCTCTCCCTTCCTCTCTGGGCTCACAACCCTTCCCCCCCAGTACCCCGGCCCCGAGGGAGGCCCACCTGGAGCAGATGATTTCGTCGGAGGACTGCACGCCCGGCAGCTCGCCCAGGTGGTTGTCCGAGAGGTTCAGCTTCCGCAGGTTGATGAGCCCCCAGGGCACGACGGACGGGAGGGAGGCCAGGCAGTTGGCCGACAGGTCCAGCTCCGTGATCTGGCAGGAGATGTCGATGAGCCAGTCGATGTCCACCCAGGGCAGCCTGAGGTGGGCCCACTTCACACGGAGAGGCTGGGGGGGCAGAGAGTCAGACAGACAGACGTCAGCGCTCCCCGGACGGGACCGTGTCAATGGCCATGAGTTTGCTGTTCAAATCGGCGGCGGCGACGCACTTCCCTCTCTGGCCACGAGGTGGCGCTGCGTGTCTTCAACGCCTGAGCGAAGTCATCAGACTCCGCACCCGCCCCATCGCCTACACCAGCGGTTCTCAACCTGTGGGTCGCAACCCCTTTGGCGGTCGAACGACCCTTTCACAGGGGTCGCCTAAGACCATCCTGCCTATCAGATATTGACATGACGATTCATCACGGGAGCAACATGACAGTGATGAAGTAGCCACGGAAATAATTTTATGGTTGTGTCACAACAGGAGGAACTGTATATTGAAAGGGCCAGAAGGTTGAGAACCACTGCTCTAATTCCTGCAGGTACTGTCCTCATGGTTTCAGCCAGCTTATGGTGTCAATGACTATGTCTGTTCTCTGCTTGATCTCTGCTTTTCAGCCATTAGCCAAACACATAAAAGCCCTAATCCAGTCAGTGAGTTGTTTTAAAACTAGAATCTTCTTCCTCAGATTTATCTTCTCTTTCAAAATTTGGGGTTTTGTGTCCGGCTGGCATGGCTCAGTGGTTGAGCGTCGACCTATGAACCAGGAGGTCATGGTTCGATTCC